CCCCGTTCAGCTCTTTGGTTCCAGAGGAGGGAGGGATGCTACACCAGGTCAGCTGAGCCAAGCCTGAACAAACTGGAGAGCCACAGCTGGTCCACAAAAGACCCAGAAACTGGTCCAACAGCTGGTCCAGCAGCTGGTCCAAAACCTGGTCCAACAGCTGGTCCAGCAGCTGGTCCAACAGCTGGTCCAGCAGCTGGTCCAAAACCTGGTCCAGCAGCTGGTTCAACACCTGGTCCAAAACCTGGTCCAACAGCTGGTCCAACAGCTGGTCCAACAGCTGGTCCATCAGCTGGTCCACAAAAGACCCAGAACTGGTCCAACACCTGGTCCAACAGCTGGTCCAGCAGCTGGTCCAAAACCTGGTCCATCAGCTGGTCCAACAGCTGGTTCAACACCTGTTCCAAAACCTGGTCCAACAGCTGGTCCAGCAGCTGGTCCAAAACCTGGTTCAACACCTGTTCCAAAACCTGGTCCAACAGCTGGTCCAGCAGCTGGTCCAAAACCTGGTCCAACAGCTGGTCCAAAACCTGGTCCAACAGCTGGTCCAGCAGCTGGTTCAACACCTGGTCCAAAACCTGGTCCAACAGCTGGTCCACAAAAGACCCAGAACTGGTCCAACACCTGGTCCACAAAAGACCCAGAACTGGTCCAACAGTTGGTCCAACAGTTGGTCCAACACCTGGTCCATCAGCTGGTCCAACAGCTGGTCCAGCTGTGAGCTCATGCCTTTTTATGCAAGTCTTTCTGGGCCAGGGGGGGTCGGGGGGGGGGGTGTGAGGCAGGGGCCGGGCTGGGGAGGGCCTGAGGGTTTGGACCAGGGGGGTTCTGCCCCTTTCAGAGGGACCAGGGGGGTTTCTGGCCCTCTCAGATCCAAAGAACCCAGCCTAGCCGCCCCCCAGTCTCAAAGCGATCCAGTCATGCTTGTGGCCTTCTAGTATTCTGTGACGTCACCTATGACGTCATCAGGGCGGCTCCCGCTCGGCCGCCGCCGCCCGTCCCGCCCCGCCCCGACGGTACACCTGCAGCTTCTTACCTCATCCACAGCCGATTCCATTGGGGGTGTGTTGAGTGCAAAAAAGAAAAGAAATAAAAAACAAACCGAAAAACTAAAAATTCTTTTTTTATCTTCCATTTGGTGAGATGCATTGTAGCGACATGAATAAAGAAAAGTTCACCTGGTGTGCTGAATAATGTGTAAATTGGTTATTACACAATCTGAATATTTGTATAATTGTTTGTATTTTTTCATAATGATTTTGGAAAGGAATGTGTTTATTTTTTTGACTTCTGTTCCAGATGTGTCTTCTGTTGGCCTGACATTGTGACTGGTCTGGTGGGATTCTTACCTCTGTATTGAGCCTCTTCTGTGATGACTTCTTTGTATGCAGTGTTTAGGAAATACTGTAGGGAACATGGGGAGGAGTTGATATTAGGAGCATTTGATCAATTTGTATTTATTTATTTTATCATTTTGTTAATAAATTGTGAAAAGCATGAGGTCTCCCACTTTGTCCTTCTACATTCAAAATGTTTTAAGGTCTGCAACAAGGGGCTTTTATTTGGAGTAACCTAAAAAAAAAATTGAAAAGCACATAAATAACTCTTAAAACAACAAATATATGTTCATGTTTGTATCTGAGTTAAAATTCAGATACGGAGTCAACAAATGAAAAGAAGCACACCAAAACTTCAGTTTTTCATCATTCTTTTTTATTGGAACATTTTAATTAAATGTCCAATAAAATGACATTGATTGTATTAAAATAATAGAAACTGTTTGTCTTCCCTGTGTCTGTTTGCAAGAGCTCCTAAAGGTTTTTGTCTCTCGTACAGACAATAAAATGCATTAAGCAACGTTGGATAATCAAAAGGGGGCTTTTCATCCATAAAGCCTCTTTTTGGCAAAGCAAATGTGTTCAGCCGAGCTCAGTATTCAGATTCCAGTTCTGCTGAACAGGACAAGCTAAGAAAAAGAGAAAATAATAGATTGTTGCTGTTTCAATGAAAACAAAAGACAAATATTTGATAATAAATAAGAGATAGCTAATAAAGTAGCACATGTTTTACCATCTACCTCTAACTTACCTTCCTCCTAATTGATAAATTAACAATTTATAAACGAAGTGTAAACTAGTGTTGGGCAAATGAAGCTTTTGTGAAACACAATTGATCCACTTTGTTAGAAAGTGGTTCACTAGTCGAAGCTTGGACTCTAGTGACCTCTGCTGGTGAAGTCAAAACCTGCAGGTTAGTTGTTCTCACCAGATGGTCTCACGTACATTTTGGTTGGATTGAAAGTGTCTTCGAATAAAAGTTTGTATACAAACATCACTGAATATCCTTTTCCATGAAATGATAATGATTGATAAATGTGTCTATCCTGTTGTCAAAGAACGAATCCTGTGAAAACCTGGGGGTGGATGGGTCTGCTTGTACAACTATTGGCTTATTATTCGGTCTGAGGGCAGTCAAACATTTATATTGAGGATAGTTCATTTTCCTACATTCCTACATTAGTTTATACTCTGGCAACAACTTTCACCTTCATGAAAGTGTGTATTTATAAAGGAGGAGACAGGCTCTTCCAGTACGGCAGCAGAGTGGCGCAGCGGAAGCGTGCTGGGCCCATAACCCAGAGGTCGATGGATCGAAACCATCCTCTGCTAGCTTGAATTTTTCGGTTTTGAAATATGTTTTAGTGAACTAAGAAATATTGTTAAAAACAAAAACTCTTAATTTAGACTACGACGGAGCCATACTGCCAGATTGAAAAAGAAAAGGAATTACTTACGATTAATGTTTCTAGACATCAGAAGAATTCATTACGGGATTAACGTCAATATCAAACATGGAGAGAATTAATTACAAGACTAAAGTCGTTCTTAAATATCGCGAGTATTAATTAGGAGATTTAAGTCGTTCTTAAATATCGCGGGAATCAATTACGAGAGTTGATAAAAAAGAGGGTCGTGAACGTGAAGCATGAAAGTATCAGGATGTTAAAAATAACATGCAAGAAAAAGCATCTCTCGGCCACATTTAATAACTACTTTAATATCGTAATTAATTTTTTTTTTTAAATGTAGCCCTAATAGCAAGTTGTATCCAACTTCAAAGTGTTATTAAATCATGCATAAATAGCCTAGTTGACGGTATGCCTTTCAGGGATGTTCCTGCCAGACTGGCCAATGCATGGCATCTTAGGAAGGGGCGCCATGTTGTTTGTTTGGACTCAGTGTCTCAAAACATCTCCAACTGTTTATTTACTCCCAACACACAGAGCTTAATTATTGGGCGGCGCGGCCCTAAGTGAGGGGGGCGTATGTGCCTCCCCCCACCAGCAGAGGGGGCTGTTAGATAGATAGATAGATAGAATAATGAGCAACAAAGAACAACAGAATAAAATACTGAGGTAGAAAAACACAATAATAAGATTATAAAGGGGGATCATGTGGTTCAGATGTGCGCCCCCCCCACCACCAGCAGGGGGGGCTGTTTGGGGCTGATGTGGTGCAGGTGCGGCCCCCCACCAGCAGAGGGGGCTGTTGCCCTGCAGATCATGGAGAGCTGCCACATCAGCAGCCTGCAGGGCTCATCTCCAGATGTTTGTGGGCCACAGATCCAGATGTTGGCCCAGCTGCATGTGGCTCGTTGGTCTAGGGGTATGATTCTCGCTTAGGGTGCGAGAGGTCCCGGGTTCAAATCCCGGACGAGCCCTTTTCTGGGAGGAGAAAGGTCCACTGACTTTATTCCTGCAGCAGACGCAAAGAAACGGGGACGACCAGCTGGTCAGTCCAGCTTTTATCTGTCAGAAAAACTTTATTTATTAGAGCAGTATCTGGTTCTCGGGGGGTTCCTGGGGGGGTCCCAGTCCTCAACATTCTGCAAACTGAGCTTCCTCCCTGCACAGACAAAATCACAGCTCAGACCCAGACCCAGACCCGGTGGGGGCCCATGTGACCTCAGAGGTGCAGAACCACAACCTGGTGTCCGGCTCCGGGTCCAGTTGCCATGCCGACTCCTCCTCCAGCTCCTGGACGGACATGTGCTGGAGCAGCGACAGGCCGAAGCAGTCGCCCAGCACGTTCACCAGGATGTTGCAGCGGTCCCTGGAGGGAGGGGGGGGGGGTGGGGGGGGGGGGGGGTCAGCAGGCAGAACCCCCACGGGGGAACATATGGGGGACCGCTTATTCCCTAATGGGGTTCAGGGTTAGTATAGTGGTGAGTGGGGAGATACAGATGTGTGGATTCACCTTGTAAGTCGCTTTGGATAAAAGTGTCTAAATGCATTAACATTAATGGGGTCACGGGGGGTACTGGAGCCTATCCAGGTAGCCAATGGGATGGGGTCACCCTGGACCATCCCCAGTCCATCACAGGGTAAGGCTAAGGGCAGTTTGGAGCGTCCAACCAACCTAACATGCAGGTTTTCGGGCGGTGGGAGGAAGCCGGAGAACCCGGAGAGAACCCACCAGACACAGGGAGAACCTGCAGACTCCACCCCGAAAAGGTCCTGGTTCCCCCGGGACTCCAACCCAGAACCCTCTGGCTGTGAGGCCGTGCCGCCCCCAGTTCTTTCCTGGGGGGTTAAATATCACTAATAACTCACAGCAGCAGCTCCAGCAGCACCAGGATGGAGGCGTCCCTGACCGGCCGCCTGGTGGCCGTCAGGACGAACAGCGTCAGCAGGGATCCCGCTTCTGGGACGGCGGCGGTTTTCATGCTGGCCACCGACGCCACCACGCTGCACAGAACCAGGTCAGAACCACCGGGTCAGAACCGCCGGGTCAGAGCCACCGAACCGGGTGAGAATCTGTCAGCGACCTGATGATGACCAGGTCGCTCAGGTCCAGGCTGATGTGGCGCAGCTGGGCCACGAACACGGCGGACACGGCCTGGTACATGGCGGTCCCGTCCCGGTTCACCCGGCTGGCCAGGGGCAGAACCGGCTGCCAGATTCTGGGGTCGATATGGCTCTCCTCGCAGAAGCGGATGGCCAGCGGCCTGGCGGCGATGCTGGGGGGCGGAACACACATCAGCTGAGACCCGGTTCTGCTCCAGTCTGAGTCCAGAACCACTTCAGCCCAGAACTATTTCAGCACATGGACCGAATGGGGCTGGAGCAGACCGGGCCGGGCCCCAACTGGTTCTGGTCCGGGGCAGCGGCTACCTGGAGGACATCAGCAGGGCGGTCACCAGGGCCGGATAGGCCTTCTTGAAGACCTCAGCCGGGTTCCTCCTCACAGCCACGACGTAGACCAGAGGCAGGATGACAAAAGAATGGAGGAGGAGCCTGGAACCAGAGACCAGGGTCAGTCCAGACCTGTGTGTGTGTGTGTGTGTG